TCATGATAAGTGTAAATGAACTAACTACAAACAAGGCTGTGTTAGACCAACTTACTCTTGAAAGTGATTTTCGTTTGTCTGAAGACGGGACGTTTTTCTTTGGTGCGTGAATTTTTTACACATGTTATAGAAGCTGGTGCGTTTGAAGTGCAAGCTTGTTTAGTCACTTCGGAATGACTATTTGAAATTACAAAACTCTCCAAATCCATTTGCTTTCTTCGACATTGAGGCCAGTAATGAGAACATTTGGGTGGAAATGAGTTAGAAAAAATCAAATCTGAATTATAAAAATATGGTAGATCTGTATATATTGGACAATGATCAGATCCATCTATGTGTAACATCAAGTCTGCTTGTATATTATTGTCTGATGTGGTGATCATTTCCACAAGTTTCAAGTCGAATAAAATATAATCTAATCTGACTCCATAATTTGTTTGACGAGCACTTGTACGTGATGACCAACATGTGAAAGCATTTTTCCGATGAGGATGCAGTAACCTAAGATAATTAATTAGATGAGGTACGAAAATTTAAACAGTAATGTAAAGTTCTAAGTGACAATTATAGATAAAAAACGCTATAATAATATCACTAACAAATCGCAGTTTCATTTGATATTTTGAAAGTTATTTCTAAGTTCTTACAAGACTAGACTTTTTATTATTAGAACGTTATTAAAACCCTTAGAAACTATTTATTTAAGCGACAATGCCTATATAGTTTAGGCAACACAATAACTAGTTGTTTATTTAAGAAATATTTTTGAATTAAAAAAGTCTGAAAAATTACAGAATTAAATTGAATTATCTGAACTAATTTAAATCAATGTAATACTTAGCTGAGAACTAACCTCTCTCATCTTATAGAATGTTAATTTTTACAAAACATTTCTTCAACTTACTAACATTATTTTGGTTTCCAATATGGCCATAGAGTAGTTAATTGCTTATGTATGTTTTACACTAAATACAAACTGATACTTTGTATTTTATTGTAGTTATCATCTCTTTTAGCATAAACTAATTAGAATAAGAGGCTACCACCATTTTTTGTGTAACGTATGAAAGGATGATCTACTGAATCTGGACCGTTGAACACTGAAGTGATTTGCTTCTAAGAATACATAGGTGATCGATTAGCAGATATTTATTCATAGTCGCTTGAGAAATTTGCCTAACTTGAAAATAACTAAGGAAAAAAATGTTTTCAGGGCAGAGTCTATAAAACTGAATTGTACTTTTATGTTAGGTGTTCTAATATTAATGTATATGTCTACTCTTCTGCGATTATAAGTGTGAATCGAAATAAGCTGTTTACTTCGTATATAAGTAATTAATTGAAACAAATTTCGCTGGCACCAGTAGTTTGACTCCGAAAGTTAGTTTTTTTTGAGAATTTGATAATTACCTGAAAATATCTACGAATCTTCTTAAACCAACGCTGTCTTCAGTATTAAGACTCTCATCTTTTTGTTCTTCAACCAACAACTGATCAAACCATTCGCGAAAAGGTTTCGAAGACTTATCAATCTGTGAAGTATGTGAAACAAAATTTACATAATTTTTTCAAGCAGTATTGAAGTATGCACGAATTGTAACTAGAATGTGAAATAACGCGATTATCTTTCTCGGAATGAGACAGTTCAGACGATAGAGGTTTGGCGCTTTCCGCTAAAAAGGTCTCATGCCTAGCAACTGATTTTTATGCAAATTCACTGTTTGTAATGACAGGATGACTCTGTCTATAGAAAGTTTCAGATATGATGAGTTGTCAAATGTGGAAGCTTAATAATATGTTAGTGCACAACTATACTTATATAGACGTATTCAAACTATAATCGGCCTATTTAACAGTTTTAAGATAAGATACACGCAGCATGTGCCACTGGTTTCACACTAACCAAAAATAAATTTGAACTCAATTGAAATTCAAGTTTTACTGCCTTTAGATATATTTGGCAATTTATAAGCAAGTTGAAGACACTGTAAATCCTGAGGTAGTGCAGACGGATTTTCACCAGAATTTCTATGCGAATTCTCCAAACAGACTTTTCTCATCATGGTGACAGATTACCACTTATCTAAGGTGGAAAGTACTGAATCATTTGATGAATTAGGGATGGCAAATCAATAGATGAAGTATTTTAACTTCATTAGTTGAGGTGGTTGGGACATGTGTTACGTATACCTAACCACCGACTGCCTCAACGAACGATGTCTTGTGGTGTAGGAATGGGTTGGGAGAAAGCTAGGCGCGGCCAAACCAAAACATGGCACACATCCATGAAGTCACTGACAAGTGGACTGAGTTATGTTGGTAGATGTAGTCTACCTGGTTGGGGTCCGCGAAGCGTATGTCACCAATGGTTAGAGGCCTTGAAGGACATGGCGCAAGTGCACCCATTCTTTGTGTTCTCTCAAATCCTAAACTTCTGAATCCCTCATCATCTCCATCTTTCTCTTTCTAAATTTATCTCACTGAATTATACTTCTCGAATCATATCTTCTCCATTACTGCTAATACTTCTACTATCGCTGCCGCTATGTGATTTGAAATGACAGTTGCGTCTCTGTGCTAATGCGGTATGGCAATCTGAACTGATGTACTTACGTACGGAGTTCTGCGTTGTATCTGCCTGTCATTTGATTAACAGAACGAGATGCTTTAATTTTTACCGAAACATTTTTTCCCAAACATCTGCGATTTTATTTATGTTTGGAAGGACTTTTTAATAACGGAAAACTATTTCTCTCTAACACCCTACTTATCACTCGGCTGTTCAATTTTGTTCACTTTATGACCCCGATTACTTTGTTTCCAGCTACTATCTTTATTTGTTAAATATATACTTAGCTCAATTATTACCGTTTTGATAAATTTCAAACGAAGAGCAATTTATCACTACTGAAATGAATGTATTATCAAAAAGATCCACTTCTTTTTTACCCATCTATTATTATTATTCAAAAGCATTCGGTTGATTTCACTTCGTTTAAATACTTTCTATCGATTGTTTTTCAAAATATAAACTTTCCATGATACATTACGGTTATCTACTCGTTTATTTAAATTATCAAGAGAATATGGATGGAAAGAAGTACTTGAACGCTTCAAGGCTGTTATATTTTCTATCGTAAAGGTTGATGAGTCATACTAAACCAATTGAACAGCACAAACAGATGAGCTTTGTAGTGATCTCTTCATCAACACCTATAACTGTAGTTACCTCAGTAATATTATCATTAAAAATTTGATTTATTTATTACTTTTTCAGAAAAACTTGTGGAATAGTCGTTAAAGCACTCAGTTCTTAACATCCAAATCGCCAGTTTAAAACTCACCACATCGAATTCGATTTTTGATGTCTTGAATAGGATTGCTAAGCTTCAGTAAGATGATATGACTTAAAGATAAGTTAAAAACCGTTTAGCACACCAATTAGATCTCAAGATGTCCAAAACGAAAATTTTATAATTTACCACAGTTAACTTACGATAAGTTCATTTGGAGCGCAGTGATCGATTATTTTGTGACAAATATTAAAGTCACCAGCAATAACTACATTACTGAAATATTACAGACAAAATAAATGAATGACTTACTTTTCTGTTAGAAGTGATTCAATGCAATGTTGTACAGCATAATGGAAAAGATGTTTGTAATTCAAACGTTCAACATTTTCTGAATCTAATCTGGGAAAATATATGGACAATACAACTAGCGGTCGGATTTCATTTGCAGTTCGAGAGGTGGTAAACATATCACTCGAAAATTGAAGACCCAATACTCTTCCTTCTGCATCCAAATTACGAGCTTCTGCATAAGAAATATTCAGCATATTCTTAAGGAAATTCAACCCATCCATAGAATTGTCTTTACAAAATGTGGATTCGACGAGAATATCATTTAGGTTATGGTATGTTTTGGTTGGTTTAAGAGGATTGCGACAAAAAATTGCAGTTCCTGTCGTATTTATTGCAAAACATTGAATATACCTGAGTATCCTGTCTTGTGTATACTGTGACTGAAATAACCATTGTAGTTATCCGCATATGCAAAGTCGCTACTTATATCAGCTAGAAATCGAAAATATCAACTATAAACATTAACATACGCGTGGTCTTGGTCTCCTGGATACAAATTACATCAGATGAGAGAGAATCTAAAATGCTTTTCAACGAATGCTGAATAGAACGCAACCCATTTATATTCCATGAACAGATGCGAATAGGGTTCATACTAAATTCTGAGGATACATCTGAAGAAATGTCTTCACAGATGTTTTCTCAGCGCAAAAGAAACGAAGAAATATATATTCCACTAAGTACACCAAAGTCCATATAACTGAAATCATACATAAAGAGAATTTTTAGGCGGAAAAACTATTTGTTAATAAAACGAGGCGTTAGCTATTTATTTTTCCACTTGGATACATCAAGTACTAGGTTAGGTCCCGAAGAACTTAAGCGTGAAATAGACATGGTATCTATGATATATTTAGTATTCTGACTACTAGATATTATATTTGCAACAGATAACAGAATATCTGTCCTGTCGCACAATCCTCACTACGAATTAATTAACCTATTTATCCATTGATTTACTGTCCTGAGATCTCACTAGCATTATGATTTCCTGCTTATTATTCTCCAAAGTGCAAATATTTGATCGGCCTGTTGACGTAATAGCTACTGTTATATAGAAACCACACTTCCTTAAAACAAACGCCTCGACGTTTTGTGATGTAGGTTGGAAGAACGCTAGGAGGTGGCCGAACAAAAACATAGCACAAATCTATGAAGTCACTGACAACTGGCTGGAGCCATGCTGGTTGAAGTTCGCGAGACGATAGTAACCGATGGTCAGATACCTTAAATGACATGGCGGAAAATCGTTTGCAATAGTGCAGGTGCACCTACTGTTTGTCTTCCCTGATATCCTAATCTGAGCTGCTCACCTCCATCTTCTCCCCAAACTTATTTCACTAGATTATGCTTCTTAAGTACTATCTTCACACCCTAATCTTCTCCATTACCGCTAACACTTGAAATATACCTATTACAATGGGATTTGAATAAACAATTTCATCTGCTAATGTGGTGTGGTAACCTGAGCTGATGTACGTAGTTACGAATTTCTACGTTGTAACCAAATGAATGAAACAAACGCACTCAAGCATATTAAAAATTCATAAATAACTACCAAATGACTACAACTAGTGCAGTCGAGGAGCCAAGCTATCACTCATCGGAAATTACCAAATACCTAGAACCGTACCGAAATAGCGTAATTCGAGCGCGAGAAAATTCAATATCCAATATACTTTTCACGAGCTCGTATCAACCAGCTGATTTCTTCGCTCTCAATTCTTGTTCTTTCAGTACGGTTCCAGGTGCTTGGTAGTGTCAAATGGATGGTGGTCTAGCCAATCGACTGTCTAATTCTAGTCAGTTGGCAGTTGGTTGTGAGTTCGTATGTCCCGTGATTTGAATGAAAACGTTTATTTCAGGGCAGTAGGGTTTCTGGATACCAGAAGCTATCACATTATCAGACCGGAAGTCAGTTGGCCGCAATTTGGAGAATAAGAAAGAGAAAATTATAATGCTATTATGAATGAGATTACAGAACTAATTAAATAAATAGATAATTTAGTTTATTGACTGGTGGTGAAGATATTGAGAGAGGACCAAAGTGTAAGCAAGGGAGAGGGAACAGAGATAACCGGCAAGAAAGATGAAGTTGGTGAACTGAGGAAATGGCAATAATAACGATTATCAGGTCTCAATATATGTAGCAGGCACAGCTTGTCCAAGAGGGAGATGATAATCCGTGTGTGAGATCGGGATTATCAAGTCTCTTCTTAAAGCTGTCCGCCGAAGGGGATGTGGTCACCTCGGTTGGGAGAGTATTTCAAGTTGCGACGACTCATTGAGAAAAAGTGTGCACGAACCTGAGTATTCGCTCTTTGATGCACAATTTTCGAGGATTGCCTTTAGGGGAGTGGTGGTGATGTATCGGTAGAAAGCTCAATTATTTTGTACTAGCTCTTAACAAGAGACTAGGTGTCGGATACAGAACAACAACCGTGCGCAAAGAAATTAATTGGTTCATCAACTAACAAATACCTTTTTCACGAGCTACTATAATATTCAGTCTGCTTAGACAATGTAATGAAATGCGACAGTTTTTTTGGGATTTTGATTGCAAAAGGCTATTCACTTTATTAATTATGAATGACTCGAATTATTTAAACAGTATGCAGAGGTTCCCAGTAATAATCCAACTTCATTTCAACAATAAGAAATGAGGGTATTGCTGAACAACTCTGTCTCAATTTCAAATGTTTTAGTTTGTGATGACATGTTACTTCAGCCATAGTCGTTCCTTTTTCTTTGAAATGTCGTGGATAGAGAGAAGAGCTGATGTTGCGTGGATATATAGTAATTTCACGTAGGCAACGGGCACCACTTAAAAGATATATACATTTATCTACTGTGCCCCAGAAGAAATTGCGACAGTTAAAAGCGCTCACCAGTAAGAAGTCATAATTCCATACGACTTTCATGCAGTGCAGACTGCTATTTCCTACATATACAACACTGAGATTTTCGCAAATGACCAGCGTTAAAATTATTCAGTACTATTTGGATTCAAACTTATTAGTTGATTCCCCTATAAATATTCGTAATTAAACTTTTTGGCATAACAAATGTTCACCTCAACCGTAGCCGCTACATTGATGTGGTGGTCAGTCTTGCTCAGTGCGATGACCCAGTCGAGCTATATTAGCAGTACCTTATGTTGCTGCAGGTTCTACCATGCCAGGAAGGTCAGTCGGGGGAGGGTACGACCGAAAGCGTTAAGTCAAGTTCTGAAGGCGGGGCTGTACTGATGACTGAAGAGGGATGTAACGGCAGTAAGATGTTTTCTTCGGACAACCAGCACCTGCCTTCTCAAAAAGAAGAAAGGGTTTAAGGGGGGTCGATACTAAGTGTGTCACATCTCACGATATGTATATGTATATGTTAGTAAGTTAAACCAAAAGGTTAGTCGACATCAGTGGATTCGAATTGCATCTGATTTTCAGTCCAAGGGACTTGGTGTATGAAAAATCTGGACCTGGCTACAGAAGGCTGGACTTTCTTTTGTCAACTTGCGCCATTTACGCCGTAGGCAACGATTTCATTGTGCAGAAGTTTTCTCCGTTCTACAATAAAGGTGTGAAATATGGCCACTAAGAATAAATATCTGTAGGGTAATAGTATTCGATTATAGGTAGGTGTCTGTGTAGCACTGATCGTACATCCAAGGACCATTAGGTAGTGCTCGTGTTAGGGATAAACAGCTCCATCCAGACGACAAGTCAAACAAGACATGTTGCATATATCCAACCCCCAGTTAAGAGTTATGTAGCCTGATATGGAGATAGGCTGGAAGAAAGCTAAGGGTGGCCAAACAAATATGACACAAATCCAAGAAGTCACTGACGGCTGAATTGAGCCATTTGAGTGAGTGTAGACTTCCTAGTTTAGGTCCACGATGTGATAGTAATCGATGTTTAGAGACTTGGAAAGGCGTCCTACAATAGTAGTTCAGGATGCGATTCTTTTCTTCGAAAATGCAAAATGTCGCTTCAGAATTGGTTTGCGTCGGCATCTGAACTGGTGATAGGGATTAAAGTAGTTGAGTTTGCAAATTACTGGAGGTACGAAAGACACCAAGGAAATGTCTTTTATCTAATGATAAGAAGGCCAAGGGTACATTTGCAGAGAAACCAGAAAAACAGACAAGTGTGTAAGTGGATAAGCTAGAAACGATATCCAAATAGCCGTGGAAACAGCAGTGATGTCTGCTAGTAACTTAAACCAAAGGTTAAGGGAAACCAGTAGATTTCAGTAGCATCTGGCTTTGAACATAAGGAAGAGCCGAGTCAGCTTAAGCGCAGGTTGGTAAAAAGTCTATAAAATTATCGCAAAGTGGTGGGTAGCGAAAGCAAGAGAGATGGAAAAGGCAACATCGACAGATAACAGTAGACAACTGATATTAAGAATCTGTGTGTTAGCGTTACTGTCAGGAAAAGACGGTATAGTTGTTGATTCCCGATCCAGGGAAAAGTTCAGTTACATATCATTACAAGTAAACCTGAATGGGAAGTTGATGTACATTCCCCGATTCTCGATGACGTCATTCTAAAGTGAGGGAGAGCAACAGGTACTGATGGATTAAATTCTTCAAGATAGTGAATCAGTGTTAGTAGTTAGATTAACTAATGTTTTGGCTAGAACCTGGGTTCGGAAAGTAATCCTATCTGTCTGGTCTCAATCGCTGATTTTCCTAATCTATAAGAAAAGATGGAAGTCCTCTCGTAACAACCGCAGAGGAATCAGTTTTTACTAATAGTATCTAAAATGTTAGCGTAGATAATACTTCAACGCCTAACTAGAGCTTATTTAGAGCGGGCTCGAGAAAACCGGGATGGTTTTCGACCTGGAAGTGGATGTATAGACCAGATTCATACTACTTCATATTCTAGAACATAGATACACGTTCAGACGTCCCACAATAGTAGTTCAGGATGCGATTCTCTTCCTCGAAACTGCAAAATATCGCTTCAGAGTTGGCTTACGTGGGTATATGAGCTAGTGATAGGGACTGGAGTAGTTCAGTTTGCTGAACGCCTCACTTATCCTGGCCGACTCATCACTCCTGATTATCCGGTGTCTGACGAAATTTCGACACGGATACAGAAGGCTCGATCGAAGTTTGCAACCTTGCATCACTTGTGGTATAGTAGAGACATCTGCCTGCTAACCAAAGGACGAGTTTGCTTCTTCCTATTATCATCAAGTGAGGTGGTTGGCACATGTTACGAATGCCCAACGACCGACTGTCTCGACAAGCGATGCTTTGTGGTGTAGGAGTAGGTTCGAAGAATGCTAAGGGTGGCCAAACACAAATCCAAAAAGTTACTGATAGCTGGGTTGTGCCATTTTAATGAGTGTAGACTTTCTGGTTGAGGTCCATGAGATGATAGTAATCGTAGTTCAGAGACTTGCGAAGACATGACTCAAGATCGTTTGCAATGGCTCAGGTGTATCCATTCCTTGTGTTCTCCTAAACTCTAATCTGAATTCCTCATAACCTCCATCTTTCTCTTCTTAAATTTATTTCAGTGGATTATACTTCCCGAATAATATCTTCAAACCCTAATCTTTCCGATTATTGCTCATCCTTCTAC